CAGGCAAAGCATGGAACAGACACGAAACAACAGAGCACAACCTCTGCCCACACACCTGCGAGATTCAAGAAGATGCTCATTTTCAAAACAAGGGCAGAAAGCTATGAGGCAGAACAGTTAGAAAAGCGAAGATTTTAGAGATGAGAAATGTAAGAGCTGAGGTTCAAGATTCAAAAACAACCTCTAGAAAAGGCAGTCAAAGGACTTTAGAATGTAAACAAGGAGACAGAATATACAAGAGAAAAGCAACCAAACAGACCAACCCATGAATTCAGGGTAAAAGAAAAAAATGAAAGGGAGGAAATTACAAACAAATAGAATAAGAGACCCTGACTTCAGTGTGAAGGGCCCACCAAGTGCCAATAAATGTGAACCCCACCCTTACACCCATCCACATGGAGTTAGAACACCAAGGAAAAGACAGGATGCTAAAAGCTTCCAGGGAGAAAAGATGAGTTGCCAACAAAGTCTGCTCATAAGTGACCTGATGCAGAAAGCCACGGTGACCCTGTCCTCAGAGTTCCCAGGAAGACTACTTAGGAACAGAAGCACCCCAGACACTACCACCCAGAGCAAGGACACAGCAAAAACACACTCACACACCAAAGACTCATGCACCCTTTCAAGGAAGCCACACAAGGATGCGTTCCAGCAAAACAAGACAGGAAACCAAGAAACAAGCAGCTCTAGGGTCTAAGAAACAGAGACTCCAATCCAGGGGACATGGCAAGCAGCTGCCAGAGGCCACTTGTGGAGGTGCCATAAAGGGGAAAAAACCCATTCAAGAAAATAAAAAGGCTGGGTGCAGTGGCTCATGCCTACAATTCCAGCACTTTGTGGAGTCAAAGCAGGAGGATTGCTTAAGCCCAGGAGTTCAGCACTTGCCTGGGCAATATGGCAAAACCCCATCTTTACAAAAAATTAGCCAGGCATGGTGATACATGCCCATAGTCCCAGCTACTCAGGAGGCTGAGATAGGAGGATCACTTGAACCCAAGGTGGTTGAGGCTGCAGGGAGCTGTGACTGCACCACTGCACTCCAACCTGGGTGACAGAGTGAGACCCTGTCTCAAATAAAATAAAATAAAATAAAATAAAATAAAATAAAGATAACCAAGAGCTGGAGAAAATAAAACACCAACCATGAACATCTTGCCTAAGTACAGAGCTGATGCAAAAGGTGTGGGGCCGTAAGCGTGCTCCTCTGGTCTGCACCTGGTCCACTGCAGCCACTGCTTGTTCTAGAGCTGCAGCCCTCCCAGGCCCCAAGGACCTGCAGCCATGGTGGGGCCCCAGCCCCGGAAGCGGGAGGAGAGTGGGGACCAGAGGACACCAAGCAACTGAGTACAGCCCGCCCCAGCCCCACAGCAGCCCCTCAGGAGTCACACCGACCCAGGACCTTGAGGACTGACAGCCCAGCCTAGCCCTGTCCTGCACCGTCCTGGCTTGAGCTGATGACAGATGGAAAGGGAAACTGAGGCCCATCTGAGGATTCCTGGCAGGGCTGAGGTGGGGGCAGGAACCCCTTGAGGGTACTCCTGGCACTACTAGCCTCAGGGAAGGGGCCCTGCAGGAGCAGTCGAGGGCCATGCCTGTTCCTAGAGCTGCATTTCAGGAGCCCCATGGGAGGCCCAGAGGATAGGGGATGGCTGTCATTCTTCTGCCAGGCTCGCTCAGGAATCCGTAGGCCCCAAACAGGAGACCCCGAGACCCAAGGACACCCCAACCCCTGAGAGGGTGGCCAAAGCTCACCCTGGACTCCACCAGGAAATGCAATACCTGGGCTAAAACAACCAGCTCAGCCATGGAAGAGCACTGAGTCCTCACTCTGTGTGAGGCACCGTGCTGGCCCCCATGGGGGTGGGAGAAGTCAGGGACAATGGGGGTGGAGGGAAAAGTAGGGGGATGGGCAGAAAGCACTAAAGGAGCTACCGTCCTCGGAGTCCCCGGTCCTCTCTTCACAAGCCACATGGGCTTCTCAGGAACCTCAGTCTCCATACCTGGAAAATGGAATCACCACCACCTGGTTCAGTGGGGTCGGAGCCAAGTGGTGCTGTTCTCATTGTTCAGGTGTGGAGTGGCATGGGATAAAGGGAAGCACATGAGGTGCACAGTGGAGGCTACGCCCAATCAGTGTTCCCTGTCTTCTTCCCCACCCCTGGAAACCTATGGTTGTGGAGGGGGTGCCAATCTGAGGGGTAGGGGTGACAGCAGGCATCATGGCAGAGGCAGCATTTGAGGGGGGCCTAAAACCTAATGTGGAGGTTGAATAGAAAGTATTCAAGAG